TACATTTCATTCTCTAAGTTCACTTCATGCATGACTTCCCTAATGAAGGGAATACGGTACATGAATTTGGTGGGGAGTAATACAATTTGAGGGATGGAGCAGGTTTCCTCCTCTTGATTTAGTTTGCTGTTATATGTTTTATATTGATTGATTTTCCCCCCATTGCAAATACTGTTATGTGATGTAAATTTGGCAATAGCAGCAATATACAATATAAATTATCAGTTTTAACAGAGGGCAGCTTTTTGGCAAAACAAAACGTCTTCAGGTTTCTCAAAGCAAGAGCAGATCTGACCTGGTTGGTCTCCCAGTTTTGAGGCTGGCCTGATCACCTGCAATTACCTGGAAAGTCTAATGTTTTTTTCAGAGAGAACATTGTGGTATGGGTAGAGCAGTAGGCATCCATCCTGTAAAAAGAATTGTAAGGATGCCAGGACCAAAATAACGTGTGTTCCCAGGATAAAAATTAAATTGGACTGTTTAAGTGTAAATACAATTATATTAAAGTGATTAAATGCAATTACCTTCTGCCTATTTAATAAGAACATACAGACTTTCTGTGCTTTACCCAATCAGTGCACAGAACAGCCAACTTACGCATGCCATGCACCCAGAACAAAACATTGTGTTCAATCCAAACTGTACATTTGGTCCAAACATGACCTCAGAGCGTGTATGTTCCAAGCATTTCAGGATGGGAGACAATAAAGAAGAGGCAATGCTGATAGTTTGGTGGTTGAGGGAGAAAAACAAATGTGGGCCAGTTTTATTATGCCATGTTTGAATTGGAAAAGGAAAAGAAGGGATTGAGCAAAAATTTATCTAGGCTGAAACCTAGAACAATCCAGAGCTTCTGGGTTTCAGTTTGATTAAATATGACCTCCCCAGAACCAATCCAACCAAATTCCTGTGGAACAATGTTTTTTTTCTATGCACAAAACACATGTATTAAGAATATTTCTGATTTTTAATCATTTTCCCACTCAGTCACATTAAAAATTAGCTTGGAGACAGTTTGGGGAGGTGTTTAAGCAAGGGTATAAGTTGAATTCTCTAGGCACCAAAGCAAAGCTCTCAGATGGACCTACAGCCCAACATTACTTGAAATGTGTGGATACAATTGAGAGAACAAAGTTGTTCTGTTTCCTTGGAATTCACATTCAAGCTGCTTTTGAGAAGAAGGATATCAAAGCAGAGGGGAGTTGTTGAAGTCCTAGTCCTACCAGATTTGGGCTGGAAGAGTCAGTTAACTACTAGATGGCAACAAAGAGTTGAGATGACAGTCCGTCAGCGAGGAGGCTCCGCCTTCTAAAAAAAAAAAGATTGAAGATAACAGAATAATAGAGTTGGAAGGGACCTGTTATTCTATTATGTTCAATCTTTTTTTTAAAGATCCAGGTGGGAGCCCAAGTTGGCTGCTACTCCTGCCTTGACTATATTTATGCTGCTGAACTCTAAGCTTGCAGCCAACATTTTGAAAGCCATGTCTCTCTTGAGACTTAATTTATCCATTTCTAGTCAGGATGTATCCCAACCATCCATGGACTGTAGCTGCCTAATGTATTGGTTCACAAATCACAGAACAAGTCAGGTGCTCCAAATGCATTAGGACAGTGCTAAATTGGAAGAAAGTGCTGTTGATTGCCTGCTGAATTAAAAATTATTGCTGCACCTACAATTCCAAGAATGGAAGTGGGGAGCCATCTGTCTCATGTAGTCACTATTTTTAGACAGTTTTAAAAATAATACGAGGTTCAGACATATTCCTTGTTGGAAAAGTAACATATGGGCAAGCTTTCTAAGGGCCAGCTCATGCAACACATTTTAAAGGCATTGGTTTCACAAGTTCATCCTATGATTGAAGTTCCATGGAGCTCAGTAACTCGAGTGTAATTCACAAGTCAGTTGCCACATGTGGAGACTCCAGAATATATGTATGTGTGCACACATGGTTCTATTTTGGAGCTTCATATCTACAAGTCTCAAAAATAGAACATGAACGTTATCATTTCGATTTTAAATTTCAGCAGTTAGAACAAAGCTAGCTTGTCAGTATTTAGTTGCCAATACTTCGCTTGGCACATGCATCAATTTCCTGAAGTTTACATGTGGAGTTTCTGCTCCATTCACATTTATTTTCCCCAAAGTAAATATTATTCCACATGTTGGGTAAAGAATGGAAAGAAAACCCTAGCAAAATAACTCTTTGTGTCTTTTGGCACCATTATGAGAAGTTCTTATTTAAGCAAACACTTGACTGAGGATGAACAGAGAGTTAGTCATTTATTGCAGTATATTAAATTTTGTTACCTGCCCACATCCCATCATTGGCTGCTGAGAATAGATAAGGTGGAGCAGCACCTCCGCTATTGGAGCTCATTTGTTCCAGTAAGAGGGATAACAAACTAAAGCAAACGTGAAGGAAATCCATAGTCCTTCTCCACACTCCACTCTTATCAGCTTTACTTACAATCTGCAACACCAAGGAATCAAAGCCACTCACAAATTATATTCTCAGCCCTGTTAGCACAATAGGAAATCAACCCAATGCATAGAAAAGGAGGGGATAGACTGTTCTTTTTTCCCCCCAGTAAAAATGCAGCCAGTATTTGACTAGAAACATTGCTGCACCTTTTCTGTCAATCTTTAGATGTTAGGCAGGGATCCTTAACCAAAATCTTCAGAAATTTGTGGCCAGAGATCATGATGGCTGGGAACTGATGAGAATTACAGTCCATGACATTTGACATGATCTATGCAGTAGAAGATTGCTTCAGGGAAAGGCATGTATTTATTACTTTTTGAGATAGCCAGCTCCAGTTTGTGTTCAAATGCAAAATGTAAGAGTGGCAATAACAATACAGTGTTACAGGTGCAATATTTTTTCTTGTAAATCGATTATGTGTTATAAAATTGTTTTTGAGTCCTAGCAGCCATATAGATAATTCACCATTATAATCTATCCCTAACTTGATCTATCAAGTCTCTCAATATGGACTCACTTCTATTTAAGATACTATTTTGTGATTTGTAAAAAGACATAGAATACCGTACTCTTTTTTTTTTTTACACATTCATTTTTATACACATTCATTTTATACGCCACTTGCTGAAAAGTGGTGTTTCCACAAACTTAGGGCACCTTAATCAGTTAAATATTATTTTATTTTAATTTATTCCATATTATTAATTAGTACAGTAATTGCTGCAAAATCCTAACCAAATTTTCTTTTTGGAGTTTAAAAAATAAGTTTTTACTGTGATTGAGATAACTTATATCTCAATAAATAAATCAGTAAGTAGACTAGGCCTTTTTAATCATCACATTACTACCTGAAATTTACTCATGTTCACAAAGATACTGAAGAACTAGAGAAATAACTAATGTTTTTTCCTAAAACACTGGAAATTTAAATTAAAAAAAAAGTTTAGAAGAATAGCAAATGTTCTATCTGATTACTGAAGTTCTAAATTAGTGGTCCCAAACCTTTCCGGCTTGATAGCCTGGTTTTGAGGGGGGGAACCAGACTGTGTGAGCAGTGGGCTGGCACGCATACGCGCACAGCTCCTCATACAAGAGAGAAGAGGGTGTCAAAAGCTTTTGCAAAGGGATGGAAGGCCTGAAGCAGCACAAGATCACTCCCCCGAAGCCTTTTGTCCATTTGCAAAAGCTTTTGGCGTGAAGAAGAGAAGCTTTGAGGGTGGGTCTCATCATGCTCCTTCAGACTCACCAAGGCTACCCGATTGTTCTGACCCAGGCTTCACACAAACTTGTTTTAAAAGCAAAACCTATTTTAATGCAACGCTGGGAATTACTTTCATTCTCAGCCAGAACTAATCTTAAACAGTTCCCCAAGATAAGCACACGCCTGTCAGTGTTGTGGAATGCTGCCAAAATCAGAAGTATCCAACTTAATTATAACAGAAAACAATCAAAGTACCAGAAAAAAACTGACCAGAATACACAGAGCTTTAAGGAGGACTCGGAATCTATTGAACTACTTGGCTTCCTGCAAAGAGTTTGTCATTGAGGTCTGACTTTTATCCCTTATGGGAGGGTCAATCACCTCCCAGCCTTACACCTGAGTCGCCCCTTCTGTTTCAGCTGCTCTCGCCTTCTAGCAGATGCGCACTGGGAACAGGCTCCCCTGGGTCCTCTGCTTTACTGCTGCCAGACTCCGAAGGCAGCACACCACTCCCAGATGGTCCTGGCCCCATCCCTGCGTTGGATGCAGGACCCTCGTCCAAGTTCTCTCCAGATTCCTTGACGGTCCCCTTTCTTCCTCACAGTCCGACTCCGCTGCCGTCTGCACCAGCTGCCGGTGAACCACAACACCGATGCTCCAAATGCAGATTTGATTTGACACAGGCAAAATAACTATGAACCAGTTGTCAAGTGTCTGAATTTTGATCATGGGAATGCTGCAATGATTGTGTGAAAAATGCTCATAAGTCACTTTTTTCAGTGCCGTTGTAGCTTCAAACAGTCACTAAATGAACTGTAGTAAGTTGAGGACTACCTGTATTCTCTAGGGTCTTTTGTATACAGCCTGAGAACAATCCTGAAATATTTTCCATGGAAAATTATTGGAATGGACCTATAGATACTGCATGCAAAGCATTCTAGATCTAGTCTATATTGGAACTATAAGTTGAAGCCACATAGGCTGCCCTTACCTAGACAAATGGTTTTTTTCTTTTTAACTCTGAAAAAAGAATCTTTTATATGCTAATTGCTGCATGTGCCTTTTTAAAAGTTTGATTTTGTTGCTATTGTTACACACCTCACACACCTCAAAGAGCGGGTCTTAACGATTTATAGCACGTGAGGAAAAGTCCATTTAAGAAAGAGGGAACAAACTTCTGACAGAGGGGAAAGGTTAAGAGTGTCAGCAATTTTGGGGTTTGACGTAAATAACAAGGAGTTTTGGGAGTGAGACCTGGATGTGGGACTATTTTGTTAAAAGTAAGTTTCTCCTTTCCCTCTGCTGATTTTTCAGAAAGCACTCCAAAGACCTCTGCCAGTTGCAGTCCTGCACCTGATTCCCCAATGAGTTCCAGCGACTCTGTGAAAAGCTTGACGGAACTGGTCCAGCAGCCCTGCCCGGCCATTGAAACCAGTAAGGAAGGCAAGCTGCAGGAGTCGAGTGAGGCCTCGACTTCGGATTCCCACTGCACAACCCCATTGCCTCTCTCCGGCCATTCATCACTCAGCATTCAGGAACTAGTCGCCATGTCACCGGAACTCGATACCTATGGCATCACCAAGCGGGTTAAAGAGGTGCTCACAGACAACAACCTTGGTAAACAAAAAACAACAACAATACATTTGCGTATATGTGTGTGTGTGTATTTCTGATTGTTGTTACAGTAAAGGGTTTTTAAATGTTCATTTTTCCTCTTGCGTTGCTAATAGGAACATGTTTAAAGCCAGGTCGGATATCTAATTATAAACAACTCAACAATCATAATTATTTGGTGAATCAGAGAAAGCTTTGCACATGGATAATTAATAAGGCTTGGGCAAAATTTGTTCAGGGACCCAGCTCTTTATACAATGCACCATATGGTAGCATTCCACATATGATGATCGCCTTTCTTGCAGTAGATGCTACCATAATTCCAAGTATTCACCATTTCAGGAACTTTATTGCAGCTGCTTTTTCAAGGAATCATGTGACTTGACTAAAGATTAAGTTTACTGCAAATTTATTTAGTGCTCAGGTAAAAAAAAATGGATGGAAAAAGAGAGCTTTGGGGCACAGCAAACGTCCAGAGGTGCTTATTTTTTTAATTTGTTTTGTATGTTCATCAGTTTTTGGCTCCTGGCAACTGCCTAAAATAGTCCCTGCAGTTTTTTTGGTAAGATTTTTGAGAAATTGGTTAGCCTTTGCCTCTTTCTAAGAGCTGATAGGGTATGAATGGCCCAGGTTACCCAGCTAGCTTTGTGCCTAAGGCAAGACTAGGACACACCGTGACTTAACCACTTTAGCAAACTGGCTCGGGAGGGAGACAGACAGACAGACAGACAGACAGACAGACAGACAGACAGACAGACAGACAATCAAAAGATTGAAGCCCATCTATCATTTTTATCACATTTCCCTCTAGCCAATCTTTCACTAATTCATTTTTTTCTCATTCCCCACCCATTAACCTCTTCATGAATGGTCTATGGAGATTCTCAGTCATCCAAGTCATGATTGGCCCAAAGGTGCTTTTTCAAAAAGAAACTGGACTTTCTTAGTTTTTTCTTGAGGATATTTCATTTCTCATCCAAGAAGCTTCTTCAGAACTGGTGGATGAGAAGCAAAACGTTTTTAAGGAAAAGTAAAGTCCAGTTGCCTTTTGAAAAAGCATCTTTGGATTCTTCGTACATTGTTGAACCACTCTGCATTCTCTGCATTCCCCCCCAAAAGAAGATGCCATTGGCATAAACCTGAGAGAACCACCCTCTCAAAGCCCAAATTACACCAAAGCAATTTTTTAAACAAAAGAATAATTCAGGATCACACACTCTCTCTTTTCTCTCTCTTAATTGTGATGGATTGGAAACGTCAAAAATTAGACAATCAGCCAGGCTTCTGTAGATTGTACCTGCATTACTATCACCTGCTTTGGGGTTTTGTTTTTTAAAAAGACAGAAAAATAAATGCAACAAACATTTAGCTACTGAGCTCAAGTTTTAGTTGATTTAATAAGTTTATTAAATAAAACAAGTTGTTTTTAGGCATGAAAAAAAATGGAAGAATGTTGTTTGAGGATATTTCATTGGCCATGGAAGTTGAGTGTGTGTGTGTGTGTGTGTGTGCGCTCAACTTACAACCACAGCTGGGATTAGAATTTCTGCTGCTAAGCAAGACTGAGCAAACCCAATTTTAGGACCTTCTTTGCCACAATTGTTAAGCAAATCACTGCAGGTTTTCAGTGAATCATCAGTGGCTGTTAAGCAAATCCAACTTGCCCAATTGACTGCTTGTTGGAAGCCAGTTGGGAAGGTCACAAATGGCAATCACATGAGCCTGGGATATTGCAAACATTGTAAATTCTTTTTTTATTATTTTTTATTTTAACAACAAATCCATCCATTCAAACCGTGTGTCGACTGGGTACATATCTTGTACAATAATAATTACAATTACAGTTATAATTAATTCAAATTTCTTGCTATGATGTCAATAACTATATTCTTATTTCCAACTACTATAACTAGCAAACATTGTAGATTCATGCCAGTGGCCAAGTGCCCAAATTTTGATCACAGGATTGTGAGGATGCTGCAACAGTCATAAGTGTGAGGACTGTTGTAAGTCATTTTTATCAGTACTTTATATGGCCACTGAATAAATGGTTGTATATCAAGGACTACCTGTGGATGGATGGATGGATGGATAGATGGATAGATGGGCAGACAGATAGACAGACAAACAGTAATAATAAGTAATAATTTGTGCAATTCTAGTAATATAAAACTATGAAATGTTCAATTGCAAAATACAGTGCCCTGGACTTATGACCACAATTGAGCTCAAATTTTCCACTGCTAAGTAAGACGGTTGTTGAGTTTTGCCTCATTTTATTATCTTTCTTGCCACAGTTGTTAACTGAATCGTTGCAATTGTTAAGTTAGTAACTATTAGTAATTGCATTAAAATTAGATAACTAAATGATGAGGGAGCTTCTTAGAGCTTCATCACTGCTTATTCCAGTCAGTGCAGTATTGACTGGCACAGTATGTGTATGGCAGTTCTTCATATGTTAGCAAATTCTTACAGTAGCAATTGTATGTTGTTCGGTTATCCATATTTTATTAGAATAGCTTAATAATAAGTTACTGTGCAGAATGAGCAAATACCATTCATAAATTCATTAGACTTCTCTAAGAACTGAGGATAATTTACTTATTAATGGATTGCTTGAGAATGGATTTCTAACTGGCCATAATCTAGAAAAAGGCCATATTATTGAATTCAAAAATTGAATATTAGGTATTAGTGAAATACCTAATATTCCTTGACAAAATCATTATATTTATCATGATTAATTCATAGTAGTTAAACCTACCTCAGTATTGGGGGTCATTATGAAGAGGAAACAGTAACAGTTAGGGACCTGTAACATTTCCCCATTATTTATTAAGAAGAATAAAACATGAATAAAACATCTTGAAGGCAAATAAACCTGAATGTGGGAATTTCCCAATTAATGTTATCTCTCCACATGATTCTTATAGTTCCTGAGATCAAAGAGATAAAAACCTGATATCAATTGTTTCAAAGTAAATTTATATTTATTAAATTTATTATATTTTTTTCTTTCCACAAATTGTGTTTAATTGTTTCTGAATATATCAGGCTCTGTTTAACCAACCCATACTCCTTACAGAAATTCTGTTAACGTAAGTGTGGTTGGTGAGAGAGTGCCAAATGCAAGTGTAAATTGGGTCCAATGAATTCATTATCATCCACAATCGTTTCAGATTGGATGCATTGGGCTCTTTTTTAGGTATCTTTTTATTTCCCCTGTTAGGTTATTTTAGAAGTTTGCCTTCTCCTCCACAAGTGAAATGCTTTTATAGTTTGCCTCCAAAGATTTGACTTTCTGACTTCCAGATTACATTTTTTAATGTAATTGTGGGCATGTGCAAATATGCATGCACCAGGAAAGCTGCTGGTATGGTACAACCACTTGCTTTTAGTGCATGGTTTAGTTTCCCATGATGTTGGAGGCAAAACTGTATATTGATGATGTTACCTAGTCTGGTAATGAAACGTTCAGAAACTAAATTGAAACAAGCTTGGAGAGCTAACCACTGCCTAAATTGTGTAGTCCCGAGTTAAAGAGTAGAGTGTTCTTATAGACAAAAAAGACTGTATGTTTTCCTTGCATTGTCACTTCACGAACAATCACAGTTTGCTGTGTATTATTCTATAATCAGAAAAGCCAAAAGTCACGAACAATCACAGTTTGTTGTGTATTATTCTGTAATCAGAAAAGCCAAAAGTCACAGCAGAGTAAACTTTACAAATACAGGTAGCCCTTGAGTTATGACTACAATTGAACCCAAAATTTAGGTTGCTAAGTGAAACTTTTGTTTCAGTGAGTTTGCCCCATTTTACAATTTTTCTTGCTGCTGTTGTTAAGTGAACCATTGCATTTGTTAAGTTAGAAACATGGTTTCTAACAACCTAGCTTCCTTATTGACTTTACTTGTTAGAAGGTCACAAAAGCTGATCACATGACCCAGGACTCTGCAACTGTCATAAACATGAATCACTTGCCAAGCAGCTGAATTTTGATCATGTGACGACAGGGATGCTGCAGCGGTCTTAAGTGTGAAAAAAGGTCATAAGTCACTTTTTTCCAGTGCCATTGTAACTTTGCATGTCACTAAATGAACTGTTGTAAGTCGAGGACTACCTGTACATACAGTTGATTGAAGCTGCACAATTAAAGGGTGCAGTCATTAAGAGATTTGGTGGTATGTTAGCAATTTAAGGTGGTACCATCTACATTAGAAGAGATATAGTACTCCAAATTGTAAATTACAAGAAATGAAATTTGCAAAAGGGAACTCTTAAGTGTTGGTGGCCAACAAATAATACCTGGGGATTGTAAAACAGATCAGTTCTGCTCTGCCCCATTCACTAGTGGTCCAGAATTTTTCTAATTGTAGTAATTCTATTTTTTCCAGTTTTATTTTCTTTCTGTCCGTGTAGGCTAGAAATATTTAAATAAAACTTTGTAAAAAAAAGTTACAATATAAAATTATTTCTTTGTAATGAAAGTTAATCTTTGGCGTCTCTAAAATCTCCACAGAAGCCACATTTCTCTGTGTGTTTTAGAGCGTACAGAAAACCAAGGTCCCTGATTCTTTTTTCCTTCTTGTACTTCAAGAAGATAGGTGATTTGATTGACACTTGTTCTTAATGTCACTTTACATGGCCCCTGCCATGAGTTTTGTTTTTATGTGGCTGACATTACATTAATTAGGTATTTAAAACTCTATATATCAGTTTTTCCTTTGTGCCCTTTGTTTGCAACATCTCTAGATTTTCTAGAGGTGGAATTAACCTGTTTCATGGCTTTTGGTTGTCTCTATCTTAGCCAATGTCACTAGTATTTCAAATTTTAGCATGAAAATAATTGCAAGCTTGTCACATGCTAAGTGGCACTATGAATAGGGAAAAAACCCTTCCTCCTTCCCCTCATTCCTCTAGCCTTTGTGTAACATTTGCATACTGTTTTCCCATCAATAATCAGATTCCCCTCCCCCAATAATAATTGTTCCATTGCTGTGTGC